ACCTATTTATGCACAAAATGCATGTTAAATGAAAAAATATATATATACAAATTTCTAAAATAATATAAAAGGTAAAAAATGGATGGTATGCTAGATAAGTCTGAAATTAACGAGTTAACTAAGTAACATGAGACTTAAACAGTTTGGGATAGGATCTCAAAAGAATTAGTCTTGCTTATAAAATTATTTGAGTAGGTTAAAATGACGTCACATCTATACTCTCCAATTGTCTATTGCGTAAATTAAAGTACATTTTAATAAATATTGTGAATTTTTGTTCAGTCTTTCTTTATTTCTCAGAAACTCTGGTAATCAGAGAATATATAATTATTTTGTAGTAAATATCCTGACGACTCTCCCGTTATTCTAAGGACATATCCTACTTATGGGAAATCAATGCTATATGAAAATACCACAAATCACAAACTCAAAATGAACACTAATGTGTTTAGACAACTCAACACCCTTCCGTTAATGGCGTTGACAAGTTCCTGATTAGATACATGATATGTTGTGTTGTAGAAGTTGTAGGCAGTTGTTGTACTGTAAGTTGTTATTATCTGACGAACATACATATTCAATATTCAAAGTTAACTGTTCAATTGCATATTTTTTTTTTCTCAAAGAGAGAAGAAGTGCTAAGCCTTTAATTATAAGATTTTTTTCTCTCTTTCTATTTGAATAGAAAATATATTAAACGGTTAGATAATTGAATATATTAGATGAAAATCTGATTGATTTGTGTTTGAGCACAAAGCTACACGATGGGGTATCTGCACTCTGGCAGCCACAGGTATCAAACCTCGATTTAGATTGTCATAAGCCCTATAAGGTGAAGAACTATCTTGTTATGATGTTTAAGAAGAATATTTTCTTTAATTGTGAAGAATTATTAAATTATGAAACCTATATGATAGTTCTTAATCTATCACGCAGTTTCATGTAACAGTAACTACATTTTTGAGATATTTTACACTTTTCAAGGAACTGGCACCGCCAGGTGGTCAGGTCGCTTAATGAGCAATCAGAGGGTCACGGGCTCGAATCTTCGTCCCACCAAACATTCTCGCCCTTTCAGCTGTGGGGGCGTTCTAATGGTACGATCAATCCCACTATTCTTTAGTAAACGGATAGCCCAAGAGTTAGTTGGCAGTGGGTGGTGTTGACTAGCTGCCTTCCCTCTTGTCTTTCACTGCTAAATTAGGGACGGCTAGCGCAAATAACTTTTGTGTAGCTTTGCGCGAAATTTAAAACGAACCGAAACCAAACCACTTTTTCAATTTCTCGTGATATTTCAACCGACTGTTATACAGATGTAAAATGGTGTCTAGTCTCCCTATTTTAGAATTTCGAGTTATGCTGTATCATTGCAAAATCCAACCCACTTTCTCAGAGGCACATTGTCCACCCTTGAAAATGAGAAACATAATTCTTTCTTTATTCATTCAGCATATGTATAGAATTTACAAGTTTTTTTTTTCACTTCACAATTTCACACTTATTACACTTAATTTTCAATTATAATAAAATTCGCCAGGTTTGTCAGTAATTTTACATACATTCTCTAGATACCTACCCTGTAGGTAAATAAAAAAAAAAGCGTCGCTACCACGGTGGCTTCTTGGATATTGGACATGGCAGTTTTCACTCAGGTCATCAAAGAGACCGACGCAATGTTGCAGACATCTCATCCCCTGAGCCATGACACAGGTTGCCAAAAGTTGAATTTATGACCCCCTTGTCCTATTGTTTTCACTGCTAAACAGAAAAAAGTTTGATGGATCTGTATTATCAATACCCTTAATAATGTTAAACACCGCAATCAAATTCCTCCTGACCCGTCTCCTCTTCATAAAAAACAAGTTTAGATATTTTAGCCTCTCCTCATAGGACAATCCCACCATCCCAGATATCATCCTAGTGGCTCTTCTCTGAACTTTCTCTTGAGGAAGGGAGCCCAAAACTGTACACAGTACTCTGAATGAGGACTTACAAGAAATCTATACAGTGAAACAATAATATCCTTTGTCTTGTATTCAATATTTCTATAGATGCTACCTAAAATTCTATTAGCTCTATTGCTAACCACAATACACAATGTTACGACAGCGGAAGTCACGTGACGCTGGGAGCATGCTTGACTGAGTTTTTCGAGTATTCCCTGAATGCACCCGACGTCTACGAATGGGAGGTATACTCCTCCAACCCAAGTCACTCAAAGACTTTTGCTACCTTCGCCACCCTTGGTCTTCAAACCCTACCGTCACTTGCCAACCACCCAAAAGCAATGCCAGTCTCCACACAATATTTCTCAGGAACGTTCATTTATCCTTCACGCCAAACGAAATACATCAAGCTCTTGAAGTTACAACCAACTCTATGATTCTCACAGTTCACTGGATCCAGTCAAAGAAAACAGGTTCACCCTCCACGTTCATGAAAGTTGTCACAACTTCCAAAACTACAGCATATTTCATCCTTACCCACGGCTGCTACCTTGATTACCATCAATTTAAGGCAGAAAAACCTTACCGTAAGCCTCACACACCCTATACCTTTCCTAACCTACCCTCAAGTCCATGCTTCTCAACACTCAAAAGAAATCCACTGCCAACCAGTACTCTACCGCCCATCCTATTACAATAGACCAAGCCACTCAAACCTCATCCACTCCTGAATCATAAGACATGTCAACCCAAACTACCACTACTAGAAGGAAAAAAGGCACCCAGACCCAGCCACAAGTCTTCACAGTTACCAACGATGCCTATCAACAAACCGACAACCCGCCTCCCAGCCCCAAGCCATTTTCTACTTCATCGGTGTCAAGCTCACCGAATGTCCTAGTAATTGACACCTCCCCCGATCTTTACCTACCTGACGAACCTTTCTATGCCTTCCGCTCACTCAACAACGACACCAAGGACTCCACACCTTTACCACTTGCCTGGAACCAAAACCTATTCAATAAAAAACCAAGATGAACACCAGGAGACTCCACAATTCATTCAAAAGCTAATCAACTCTCAGCACCAGACTTCACTTTGCCTTCCCCACTTACTTTTTCTCGCTAACCGGGCACTAGTAACGAATCGGTCGTTATCA